ATGTATTTTTAAAATAATTATGTTTGAACAAAACCATTGTAGGATAAAAATCTTTTTGCACAACCATTAAAACGTAAACAAGACAATGATATAAATTTAAAAAACACGTATATTTGCTGTAAAGATATTTTAGAATCTAAAAAAAGCGATAAAATACAACAAATGTATTTTTAAATGTTGTTTTACATATCTTATCCTACTTGAAAACTCACTTCGAGAGGATAATGTCGAACTCATCGAAAATTGGCACGAGATATGATAAGATATTCTTTTCTGCATATAGGTATTCTCTCTTTCTCTCTCTCTCTCTCTCTCTCTCTCTTTTTACACGAGAGCTTTTATCTCTTGTAAATTTATAAATTATATTGTTCGAAAAATATTTAATTATCTATTTAGTTAATCGAAATAATCTCACCAGCAGAATTTATCACAAAGTCCACAAAATCTCTTGCGCGCAATTGCTTGATTCTCGCAATAAAAAAAACAATTGTAGAATTTTGAATACCTTATCGATGATTTTTATTATAAAAAAAAAAAAAAAGCGTTATTTTCAAACACACATTAACTCCTTGACTTCTTCAACTCTCTCTCTCTCTCTCTCTCTCTCTCTCTCTCTCTCTCTGTTTAAAGCGAGTAACCGCGAGTATTTAATTATCGCGCTGTTTGTACATTTATTTCTCGCGCGTAGCGATTTAAAAAAATCCCAAAGCCTTATCTTCCTCGAAACAAGTTTATCTTACGAGCTTCCTTTACGAACACGCGATACGTATGCATATCACCGTATCAAATATTACACCGTTTATTTTGCAGAAGCGTTGGCTTGCGGGAGAACTTGCTTCTCTTTTACGTACTTGAAACTCGCAACAGAGAAATTTTCTTTTTTTTTTTTAAGTTCCAAAGGTTATTAACTTAAACAAAAAATTTAATTTAAAAAAAAAACTTCTTACCTTGTCTTTTTTTTACGCGCGACCGACTGAAAAGTTTTTCCTCTCGCGAGAGGAAATAATAATTACCTAAATACAAACAAAGTTGCCATCAGAGCGTGCGATGACACGCTCCAAAAATTAGGACTTGGACTTTTTTTTTTTTTTCACACGTAGACCACGTGTTCGCACGTGTGTTGTGTGTGTACGCGTTAATATATATATATATATATATAGTGTTCGTTCTTTCCAATCCAATCGGAACTTCCCGCCGACGAAATCGCGAGATATATCGCGAGAGGAGTAAGTAAAAAGGTGCGCGGCGTGCGCGGTCCGCGCCAGAGGAAGAAGAAGATCCCGCATCCCAAATACATTGACCGCGAGATCGGGGGGAGACCTTGAACTTCCCTTTGAAACGCGAGCGCGAACACGGGCTCGCACACGTTCCTCGCACGTGTCCCCGCGATCGCGCGATCAGGCGGGGGTGAGGAAAAGAAGAAAAGAAAAGAGAAGGACGGAGAGACGCACAAGGTGGCGAGATTCGAGGAAGGACGACGGCCCACAATTGTTACCTCGGATCGGGAACGGCTTCGTCTGAATGGTGTCCGACGACGGCGGTGTGTAGTGCATCTCGATTTCAGATTCGGTCATCCTTCATCGGGATCCTCCGTTAAGGGGATTGTTGATTTTCGGTCGCGTTAAAAGAGAGAAAGAGAGAGAGAAAGAGAGAGAGAGAGATAAAGAAACAATATATATCACAAGCGAACTCGCGTGCACTCACACGCGAACTGCACGCACCGTCTCAACCGTGTCGACGGACTGCGACACGCATGCTCGCCGCGTACGTTACCGACCGGCCAATCCCCGCTCTTCGAGGGGACGTGTCGCGCGCGCACACTCGGCAACACGTCTGCCAACAGTTTTTTGGAACAATTTTCAAACGCATGCGCAAACACCGCGCGACGCCAGAGACCCCCCACTTTGACCGGTTTTCTTCCCGCGCGGAAGGGAATGGGTGCGTTCAGACAACTCAACTCAGTTGCACAAGTGGTTGAGAGATAATCAATTCTGATTGGATCGTACTTTTGGAGCCGCAAGCAGATTTTGAAGAATAGTCCTATCGTAAGTGATAATCTCTCAATCGTTGAGTTGTTTGAACGCACCCAAGGTCTGTTCTTTTTCCATACTTTGGCTGCACTAGTTTACAATCTACTTTTCTTTATCTATAGGCGATTTTTGGCGATCGTATGGTACATGTACCAAAGTGTACCAAACTATAATTTGAAGTCACTCGAACTATAGTTTGGTACACTTTGGTATATGTACCATACGATCGCCAAAAATCGCCTTATATTACAAAAAAGATAGACTGTGAACTAATATATATGCACCAAACCAAACCATAAAGTGCGTTCAGACAACTCAACTCAGTTGCACAACGATTGAGAGATAATCACTTCTGATTGGATCGTACTTTTGGAACCGCAAGCAGATTTTGAAGAATAGTCCTATCATAAGTGATGATCTCTCAATCGTTGAGTTGTTTGAACGCACCCAAGGTCTGTTCTTTTTCCATACTTTGGCTGGGCTGTGTTCAGTTAAGCAAGATGGAACGAACTAATGCAGGAAATGCAGGAAATACAGGAATTCATTAGTTCCAATTCCTGTATTTCCTGCATTTCCTGCATTAGTTCGTTCCATCTTGCTTAACTGAACACAGCCCTGCATTAGTTCACAATCTATTTTTTTTTATCTATATTACAAAAAAGATAGACTGTGAACTAATATACAGGGTGTCCCAGAATTGCCGTACAATCTCTTGTAGGCAGATAGAAGGAATAAAACAAAGTCAAAAAGTCCTGAACCATTTTTTTCTATTATTTATAATAAAAGAGTAATTATTGAGTAAATCAGGCCAATCAGCGCCGACCTTTAGCCAGGCGCACGTCAGTGAACTGCGCGGAGTGCTTACACACACCAGGCGCGTGGCTCACTGACGTGCGCCTGGCTAAAGGTCGGCGCTAATTGGCCTGATTTACTCAATAATTACTCTTTTATTATAAATAATAGAAAAAAATGGTTCAGGACTTTTCGACTTAGTTTTATTCTTTCTACCTGCCTACGAGAGATTGTACGGCAATTCTGGGACACCCTGTATATGCACCAAACCAAACCATAGGGTTCGTTCAGACAACTCAACTCAGTTGCACAACGGTTGAGAGATAATCAATTCTGATTGGATCATACTTTTGGAACCGCAAGCAGATTTTGAAGAATAGTCCTATTATAAGTGACGATCTCTCAACCGTTGAGTTGTCTGAACGCACCCAATCTCTTCTCCGGCTGTGTTTCAAAATTCACGGCCAGTGCTAAAGATCTATAGTTTACGTCACATGTATTATACAATTTTAATACTGGCAGCGTGCTGGCAACAATTCTGGAACACAGCTTCTCTCTTTTATCTTAAGCCAGTGTCACACTGTGCGTTGTCAAACGCGGATTAGAATTTAAGCCAATCAAGGCAGAGCAGATTCGAAAGCCGACTCGTCTTGATTGGCTAAATTCCAATCCGCAATACGTTTATTGGCTGTGTTCCAAAATTCACTGCCAGCGCTAAAGATCTACAGTTTACGTCACATATATTATACAATTTTAATACTGGCAGCGTGCTGGCAGCAATTCTGGAACACAGCTGTATTGTGACGCGGGCTTGAGACATTTGTTAGTTTGACAAATTGAGTGCGTTCAGACAACTCAAGACAGTTGCACAATGGTTGAGAAATAATCACTTCTGATTGGATCATACTTTTGGAACCAGATCAGATTTTGAAGAATAATCCTATCATAAGAAATGATCTCTCAACCGTTGAATTTTCTGAACGTAACCATTGGGTGCGTTCAGACAACTCAACGGTTGCACAACGGTTGAGAAATAATGGGTGCGTTCAGACAACTCAACAGTTGCACAACAATTGAGAGATAATCACTTATGATTGGATCATACTTTTGGAACCGGATCAGATTTTGAAGAATAATCCTATCATAAGTGACGATCTCTCAACCGTTGAGTTGTCTGAACGCACCCAATTGTCGCAAGTTGGCAATTGCAAAAATCCCCAGAATTCACCAATCACATTCGGTCCGATCTGAAAAGTTTGTGCGATTGCAACTTGCGATTAATTGTGGATCCGATTTTAATTTGTATTGTGTTGTCACTCGGCGGCGTATAAACTGGTGTGTAAATGCGGCGTATGCGGAAAGTTGATAAATTTTATATACGCAAATTTTCTAGAAATAACATTTTTTATAACATTGTTGTAGGATATCTCGCATCGTTGAATAATTAAAAATTTATTGGGAAAAATATCCTTCGGGAAAAAGAAAAGAGTAAACAGAAAAGATGGATTTTCTAGAGTATCCGGATATTTTCGCTGAGGTTAAAGGAGCTATGGTAAGAATTATTATCACCTATCGTACACATATATTTAAATACATAATTGTTACGACAATTATGTGGTTAAACATTTAATATAAATAAGAAATTTTGGTCAAATCGAGCCAAAATACTTAGCAAAAAATATTTAATAAGTTCAGTTATCTAATAAGGCCTGGTTTATGCTGGCAATAACTGTTAACTTATGCCGGAACTGGTAAAGTTTAACTATAGGATTTTAATGCTTCCGTTCATACAAAATTGCCGGATGCGTATAAACAGAAGTATTGAAATCCTATAGTTAAACTCTATCAGTTCCGGCATAAGTTAACAGTTATTGCCCGCATAAACCAGGCCTAACTAAGAAATGGTAAGAATAAGATCAAACGAGCCGCTTTGCAGGATGTTATGCTGAAATGTTCTATTATATATATATATATATGTTCACATGTAAATTTTTACACGTGTTTTTTGAATTGAAATTTCAATTCTTAAAACCACACAGTACGCTATACTTGCATCTCATGTATGAAAAACTCCGAATCATCATTTCTTAGTTATTACTTTAAGAGAGCCTTAAGTTTTTTTTTGTTAATTGTTCAGTTATCTAGTTAATTATTTAAAATACAAACGTTTTGACTCTGACTCCATTCTTTTTCAATGTGAATAAATAATAAACTAAAATATATGAGTCGTGACAATAATGTTTGCAAAAAACATAGTGAGACTACAATATCTACATTATTAACGTTCTTCATGTATATGTTTTTTGCGAACATCATTGTCACGTGACTCATATGTTTTAATTTATATTTATTCACATTGAAAAAGACTCAAGTAATAGTCGAAACGTCTGTATTTTAAATAATTAACTAGACAACTGAACTTATTAATTATTTTTTGCCAACACCTAAGTACTTTGGCTCGATTTGACCTAAATTTCTTATTTATATTTAATATTGCGAGCGTTGTTTATTTCTTAAATTTAAACATTTAATGTTTCAACATATGAATTTGTATATATTAAAATTGTCTTAATAACTAAATATATATACGCATGATCCAACGCATACAAATTGTTTTTTTTTTTTCTATCGTCAGACACCAGGCAGATTAAAGTTAACCGATCAGCATTTGATCTTTAAAAATCAAAAAACCGGGAAGGTTGAACAAATACCCGCTAGCGACATGGAGATGGTGAATTATCAGAAATTTATTGGAACCTGGGGTTTGCGTATATTTCTGAAAAATGGTACCTTACATCGTTTCAAAGGATTCAAAGAAGCTGATCAGGAAAAAATCGCAAAGTTCTTTTCTGTCAATTACAAAAAGGACATGTTGGAGAAGGAATTAAGTCTTAAAGGTTGGAACTGGGGTACGGCTAGATTTACGGGGTCTGTTCTGAGCTTTGATGTGGGCCATCACACTGCTTTTGAAATACCTCTTTACGACGTGTCGCAGTGTAACACAGGAAAAAACGAAGTAACTTTGGAATTTCATCAGAACGACGACGCCCCGGTCAGTCTGATGGAGATGAGATTTCATATTCCTGTCAGCGATAGCGCCGATCAAGATCCCGTGGAAGCGTTCCATCAACAGGTAAGGGAGATTCCGCAAAAATTCAAGTAACAAAAATTATCTGGATGTTTGTTTCAAACAAGAAGATTAATTTTTTTATTGATTTCAATTCAGGTGATGGACAAGGCGTCTGTGATTAGCGTGAGTGGCGACGCCATAGCCATATTCAGAGAGATCTATTGTTTGACGCCACGTGGTCGTTACGACATCAAAATCTTTCAATCGTTCTTTCAACTTCACGGCAAAACGTTTGATTACAAAATTCCGATATCGACCGTTCTGAGATTGTTCTTGTTGCCGCACAAAGATAGCAGACAAATGTTCTTCGTCGTAAGCCTGGATCCTCCTATAAAACAGGGTCAGACGCGTTATCACTATTTGGTGTTCCTGTTCAATCAGGACGAAGAGACGTCCATTGACTTGCCGTTCACCGAGAAAGAATTAAAAGAGAAATACGAGGACAAACTCACGAAAGAATTGTCGGGACCAACGTACGAAGTGCTCAGCAGGGTTAGTAAAAAAAAATTAAAAAAATAAAATAAATGAACATTTACATTTGTCAAATTTTATTATAAAACAATAATATTGTAAATTTATAGAATTTTCGACTGAAGATGACTTAAATACCAAGTTGAAACGTTTCGACATAAAAAATCGACTATATCTTTGCAAAAAAAACACCTTGCTTCTGGTTCCTACTGGCCGAACTTTTTACACAATTATTAAAAATAGATGTTGATGTTGTTGTGAATTGGGTTCTTAACGTATTTCAAAATCTCTTGTTTTGGATCGGGCAAGTTTGAACCGCTTTGCTAGGTGTTATGTTAAATAATTTAAATTGCGATATCTTTTATCCAAACGTTTCGGTTTATTTTGAGGAACCTTCCTCAGTGGATTACTGGTTATAAAATTTGTATGTTTGTTTACATTGGAATTATCATATCTTCAGTTGACAATTAAAAGAGTTATAACATAGTACTTGAGAATTAATTTCTTATTAAATCAATATTAAATTGAGGAAATCAATATTAAATTGAGGATCTCTTCAGGCTCATGAAGTTTATCTAAACTTAATAA